TTGTCCAATCACCTTTGGGGCTCTCGCTATTCTTACAAAAGCTTTTTGAACAATTGCTTCAGACCATATTTATTGCGAATCTCAGCCAAGTGCGTCTATAATATCTTGACCTGCTTCCTCTCCATACTGGCCTGCTTTGAGCTAGAAAAAGGAAATCATGCAAATTTGCTCTTGGAGTATGCCGTATTCAAGGCTTCAAAAAATGACAACTAAATAATAAGGAACATAGCTAGCCTAGCTGTTAGATAGAACAAGAAAAGCTCTTCAAAACCACATACAGCTCATTGGCAGCTTGCTTGAATTCGTAACAAAATAAAGCGTTCAAAAACGAAACACCGAAAAGCGCAAGAACTTTCTTCACGACCTATATTACTTTCCGTGGTATACGTTTGCGAGGGAGCAAACAACTTAGCCATACAACAAAATGGACACTGGCAATGACTGCACTGAACAAAACCGAGAAACGAGATCATAAGATTCATTCGGAGGAAGATTGTTTTTGAGAATCTCGGACTTATGCACCATTTGTCAAATTAGGTCCCGTTTGTGACCGCGCGAAGGTCGAGCCATGCATGTGCCAACTGGAGAAAAACATTGTTGCCTCAAAAAATGATTCCTTGTAAGTATCGTGGCAAACTACGAGAGTTTCGTTTTACAACAAAACCGGTGCTACCTTGTTATCACTCAACCAGGGATCGTCCAGATACTAATTTATTTTTATGAGGCCCTAGGCTTTTTCTCGAAATGTTTGCACTTAAAATACTTCAAACCTTTGTTCAAAACGTTTTCCTCCAAGTCAGTGACTATCGTGAAATATGACAGTACAGATTCTTAATCACCGCTGAAGCTAGCCTAATCTCTCACATGTCTCTAAACAGCTTCCAAAAATCAATCCCTTCATACCATTGAATTCGCTGCAATTGAAGTTGTTTCGGAATACCGGGGTTTTTCTTTTTCATTCGTACTGAATTGCAAATGAAACAACGAAAGCAATCATAGGAACTATTCTGGTTGCGCCACACACCCGCCTCATCAAATTAACATGCAAGGCCGTTCAATTAACATGCCTTTGGAAGTTTATCCACCTGCTTTCTTCGGCTCCTGACAGCCTAGCTCTGGCTAATGACTCTGTCCTGTTGTGACGGAAACTAGGCCTACAGCTGCTACTTGATTTTATTTAAACGGCATTCGTTGCACTTGACATTCATTCCCTTTGCAACGTTTAAGTAGAGTCGTGCGCTGTGCATTAGAACGCTGCACATTGCATGAATGTGCTGTATTAGGTTGATACCTCAGGAAACCATCATATTGCTGGGGCGATACTTGTAGGGAGCGTTGACCGCCTCGCCTGTATTCTTTCAGTGTTTTTACGCCCTGCCCGAGCGTTGTAGCGCGTGTGCTTTGACGCCACGAACAGGACGAGCGTTTGCATTTGGATCGAGCATCATATTTCCCGACTTAAACTATTTGTAAAAAATTAAAACGGGTGTGATGTTTGAAAATCTTAAGCTCTTCGTGGTGGTGCATACCCGCAACGTTAAAAAATTGGTTTTCATATAGAATAAAAATGAAATTCCCGAAGAATGCGCATCTTCTCCTTCGATGTTCATAATTTCCTTCAGTTTTGCCTTATAATAGCGTTAAGCGTATTGAGAAGATGCAAAATATTATATTTTTTCTCGAAAACGATCCAGAACTTTTATGGAAGCTCATCAAAATTAAACTCTGTGTTCTTTCTATTTCTTCCCTGCACATGCCAGTTCATAGCCTCAAAATGATTGCAAAATACTTCGAAGAAGCTGTCATTTTGAAAAAAGAAAGTCACCATGAGATACAGAGAGAGAGTCAATCTTTTATATAAATTAAAGTTTTCTCGAGAAATCGCCGAGTGTCGTTTCCTAATTGTGCTTCTTTGGGAGTTTTGCAATGATTTTTTCAAAACACGAGTTTTGAAGCTTTCAATGATCGCTACTTTCCTAGTAGTTGGTTGCTGTTTTCCAAAGGCAGCGTTATGAGCGAAGAGGTACAAGCTCTTCAAAAAGTAGTGAAACTGCCTTGGATAACTTCCCACCCAAGAAGTGCCGTTTATCCTTTTTTGGGAAACCTTCTGAGTTTCTTGTTGACAGATTTTTGAGCTTCTAGTTCTCTGAACGCCTTTAACACTGATCTTGTGAGTAAAAGTCAGTGTCATAAAAATCTACGTGATTTGCGGCTTCTGCATGTATTATATTTTTTCTTCAAGATTTACTCAAAATGTTTCTTTTGTCAAAGCTTTCCTTTGAGTTCTGATCCTTGTGATAATGATGGGCACTCATGATGCTCGATGTGAACCAGATCCTACTGGAGGTTGAGTGGCAACTTTTTCAGCCCATCCATGTGTTCGGGTCAGGGTTCATAACCCTTTTTCAGTGAGGCGCTTTCATTGTTAGAACCGAGACCAAGCTTTGCACCAGCTCAATATGCTACCTAACTGTGGTCCCTCGGAGAATCGTTGGCGACCTACAGCGTATGACGCTTCGTTGTGTTAGAGCAACGCAGAAAGGCGGGAAGCGGGACGCGCGATCATGTCTGGATGAGTGATTTTCTTCGTCTACCATTGCCTCACGCAGTGTACAGCCCAATTAAGCAAGTAGCGGGCGCCGGTGACAGCCAAATCCGCAGATACTTTTCACAACGTCTGTTTCAGGAGTTCATTGCAGGCTGATTTCGTTCGAGATGACACCATTCTAATCCAACTCTCTCACAAATAGCGAAGTGACGAAACGAAGAGAGGATATAAGCTGAGGCTGCGGGCTGTACGGTCACGATAGAGGTGGAGATTAGTTAGTTCGCTCAAGAAGATGTACAGGGGGGCAAAAAAGAGTCCTCGTACTTCACATTTCCAAAACGACTAATTTTACAACTTGCAAACAAACGAAGGAGTCATGGCTATGATAGAGACATTCTATGCGATCAAACAAATTGCATAGTGCGTTAACGGACGCACCAGAGATTTCTACCGGAAATGTGTTTCGCGGTACGAGCTCAACGGGGTCGTCGAGAAACCATAGATGATTACGACGTCTCTGAAACGCTGGTCAAAAGCCATTTTGCATAGTCAGAGCTAGTGTCTCTAAGAAGTCATTCACCAGTTATCCGATTGAAGAATTTATGTAGCAGCTTCAGAATGGAGCGATTATTGTAGGCCTCCTTAAGCTCGACGGTGATGACAGATGACGTCATATTCTGGAGACGGTGAACGCAGCGAAGGTGGGCCTGATTCTGCTTATGGGGACATCTAAGGGAATGTATTCGCCGTATAACTCCCAATAACAGCGGCATCCTTTGCGACGAAAAGTTTGATGATATGCGCCATAGGCAAAGTGACTCTTTTTTTTTGGCCCCCCCTGTATATAGTGCGATAACGAGGTTGCACCTCCAAGAAGAAACGTTGTAATGCAGAGCCACGATGTCATTTATTCAAAGCTACGGACACCATTCAAAAGAGTTATCGATGGAGTTTATGCAGAGGGTTGGGTGAGAATATTCGATACAATACACTGACGATCGTCTGTGTCGGTTGTCAATAGTTTTGCTCGGAATCCCTCCAAGCTGGGAGGGGGAAAATAGGGACGATGGACAGATTCTTCGCACCTTCATTAAGCGTGCCTCCAACTGAGGTGCGAAGTAATACTAATTACTTGCCGAGGCATAGAGGTCACGGTGCTTACGCACACGTCTGTGTAAGTCGATTTCAGAGAGATTCAACTGGAAAGCTACTACTACAGAAATTTTATAAATTGACCCGAAGCGACCGAACAAATAAACAGAAAAATATTATAGTTTTGTGGTACCATATCTTGACATTTTCCTACAGTAGGACTCCATTTCTGTGTAGGAGTGGAGTCTAAAAAAGATATTTTGCCCACACCCTACAGAAATGGAATAGAATGCAGTAGATTCAGATACGAGAACTAAATAAAATGGGTGGTTTGAAAGATGTGCAAGGTAAAAAAGAAGTTAATCTATAGCTCCGAGCTCCGTAGAACTCCCTGGACCGCACAGGGAGTACGAGTAGTTCAGGTCAAAGTTGTCATTTCAGAAATTCTTCATACCCGCCCGAACTGCCCTTTCAGAACTAAAAACACTAACTCGAGTGTCAAGTGGGTTGTTTACCAGTGAGTCGGGAGCAGGCCAACCCTCCTGTAGGGGTGTCGCGAAATTTCTGAAAAATCACCGTGAGACTCAGGAGGCCCCAATACGACCACCTTTCTACCTACCCCGACCACCACCCTCACCATCATGGCTGTTTCTATAGTATAATATTTGATTCTGAGACCAGTCGACACAGCCCAACTCCGCCCACTTTTTTCCTCCAAAACGGCCGTCGAGCGGGGGTATATTAGTCCAATGGGACGGCAAACTTTCTCTACTCCCACCAATCCTACCTCCTCACTCTGTGCTCCAATTACTTCCATTAAATCCCCAAAAAAGCCAATCTAGATCCCCTCGTTCGAGTGCGAACGCACGGTTGACCCTGCTCGGGAGATCGAATCTGGTTCGCGCAATGTCCAGGCCAAGCCGTCTCCTTCAAAGCTCGGCCAATAGGCAACATACTTGTTTTGAAAGGTGAGTACACTGAGTTGTATGTCGACTGCTTATGTAACGACTGAATACATCCCAATTGCCACTACTCTTAACGGAGTATTATGCAATGCCTGGCGCATCCTAAGAACTGATTGATTGGAGGCATAATTCAGGATTTCTGGAATCAATGAAGACTGCGCAAGAGATATCTGTGATCTGTGTGTGTGTCAAGTGATTTCTCGTTTCAGCTTTGGATGCTTCTTTGCCGTATCGTAAAATTTTGAAAATAGACAGGAAGAAATTCCTGTTCCTAGAGTTTTGGGCGATTTCGTTTCTCTTTTTCCATAATGCCAAAGTTCGAGACTTCTGGACGAAATGAAACTTTACATCGAAAAATACGGAACGGAACACAAGCGCAGCGCATGTACCACTGAGCGCCACTACTTAACAAAGCTGAGGTGCTAAGTAAGGCCCAAGGATGCTTTATGGGCAGCACTCATCACATTGGATCCCGCTGCTTTTTTTGGGGTTACTAGAGAGAGGACGTCATTTTCGGCCTCATCGATGATTCCTTCCTGTTTTTTCAT